AACTTTATTTAAAATTAATAAGTAATACACTGTTCCAAGAAAGAAAACCATGGGAGCCTTATAGGTGCTTCTGTCAGTTTTAATGACTATGAGAATCACTGACTGTGATAATGGTGACTGAACAGTTTCAAAAGAGGTAGTATCTTTAAAAACCACCTGACATTTATGCCGACAGAATTTTCTAAGGCAAACTGCCATTTGAATAAATTTTCTGAATAGTATGGGAGATGCTTTACCTAGAAACTTTTAAAGCCAGCAACATGGTTAAACACCTGCCTTAGGTTATTGTTGAGATGTTGTTCTGAACTATGTACAAAAAGAAACAGGTTAAGTTGTAATGATCTCTCTTTAGATGAAACAAACACTTCCTCAATTTAGGATAAAATTTGTGATTCTGTTCCCACGTAAAGAAAGCTATAGAATGTAAGAGTAATGGAACTCCTTCCCTTCACCACTTCCCTCCAAGGAAACTCTCCAAGAAACCCATTCTTGGATTCTTTTTCTTTTATTAAAGGAGAAACTAGGAGAGAAAATAAAGTATCCAGTCACTTTGCAGTGCATGTTTTTTGTTTTTAAGAATTAGAAATGTATCTGTTCCATTGGAAGTCAAAAAGGGATGGCTATTGGGATGGCTTCTGTTGTGAAGAAAATGTTAGCTCAAATATACTTGTTTAGAAAGGTTTTCACTTTTAAAAAGGGTTTAAGAGCATGGCAAATCTTGCAGTTATTTTACCAAGAATTGTCAAGAAAAAAATATTTGAATCACAACAGTTAAAAAAGTTCACCTCCCTCCCCATTTCCCCCACCACCTTCACACACACACACACACACACACACACACACACACACACACACACACAATTATAGCTTGTTAGAGCCATTGACTGAAAACAGGCCCAGCAATTTATCAGACCTCCCTTAAACAAGAGACAATTGGTAAGGGCATTTTCACCTAGCAATTAGTTGCACTCAATTTCTATAGCCTCATTTAATTATAAGCACAAAAGGGATGACCAAAACTGAACACTCAGGGCTCTTTATCCTATGACCTCATTCCTTTTTCAGGCAACCTACTTCCCTGAACAATCATTCACTTTAGTGACCACGCCTTTGAACAACAATTTATCAAAACAACACACCCATCCCCACAGAGCAGGAAAATTTTCTGATAGTGTATAGAAATCCTGGCATAGTAAAGGAGCTATCCACAATCTTTGTAACCAAAGAAAAGGAAAAAAATCATGTAAACAAAGAAATGTCCAAGCTGAATAATTTTGAGAGCAGAGATCATTCATAAACTTATATTCTTCCCCAGGTTGCTTTCTGGAGTTAAATTTTGTTGCAAGCTTAAAATTGAAAAGAATGGTCATCCATATAACACAATCTCTAAGAGGTCCCTTCTTGCATTAAAACATTTTATTCAGTAAAATATTGATGGCTAAAACACAAAATCATATTTTTAAAATGAAATATAGACATACAGAACACCTACAGACTAGATCATGTATGCATGCATGCATTCATGCTAAGTTGCTTCCATCTTGTTCAACTCTTTGTGACCCTGTGGACTATAGCTGGCTAGTCTTCTTTGTCCATGAGATTCTCCAGGCAAGAGTAATGGAGTGGGTTGCCATGCCCTCCTCCAGGGGATCTTCCCGACTCAGGGATCAAACCCACATTTGTTATGTCTCCTGCATTGGCAGCAGGTTCTTTACTACTAGCACCACCTAGGAAGTCCCCAGATCATGTTTTTCTGTCCTCAGTATGGACTCTCCCTAGATAAGCAAATGGGTATTTATCTAGACAATCATGGTGCTTCCTACATAACAGGCATAGATCATGTTTTTCTGTCTTCAGTATGGACTCTCCCTAGATAAGCAAATGGGTATTTATCTAGATAATCATGGTGCTTCCTACATAACAGGCATTTAATAAATATGTGCTCAATGAATGATGGGTAGTAAAAATATTTTATTTTGATCAATTTCTCTGTCATAACAGAACTGCTCTGTATGCATGGAAAATATCTTGGACATCATAAAAAGCTAAAATTAATGGAAGAGAAATATTTATGTCCAACGTGTATTAACATCGATGCTGTTCATTTGAAGCAGTATTTCATTTTGAATTAATGATTGATGTTTAATGCTCCAGCATTTTAAAATGTTGAGCCAAAAGGTTTTTGTTCTCTTTAGTTTCATGTAGTTTCTAGAACTTCATTTATTTATAAAACTACATTCAGCTCTAAAATTCACCTATGACCTTGATTATACCTGATTCTGATTTTTCCAGTTCACATGAATAAACTTAGTAACTTTAATTCTATCATCAATTTAGATAATTTCACCCGCAACTGGTTTCTATATTCAATTTTCTCTGAGAAACATTCTATCAGTCAGATAAAATAATAACTGAGAGAATCATAAAATATATCTGATCAATTGTAGACAAGAAACAGAGCAACATTATATTTGGAGAAATTTAAAATATGTTTATATCTATAAATACTATTTTAGTTCATAAGAAAGCAATAAAGGAAAAATAAATGTGTGCTAACAAAAGCCAGAAATAGAAAATACTAAAGTGCTGCACAAAGCATTTGTTTAAATCTAAAATGTCTACTACACAAAATAAAAAAGAAAAGCAGCACAATATCATTTCAGTTTCTCAAAGGGATCATATTTTACTACTGGCGATGATATATATTTTTAATCTTATGAATTCTTTTAATATCATCCAAACACAAAAATGCTAAAAACAATTAAAGTAAAAGTTTAATTGGATTCATGATAACCAACCCATTTTCCTAGCTGCCATGGTCACAAACTCAAGCATCAGAATAACTGCTATATACCAACTCAAAATGTCATTGAAACATGGCATATTAAGGAGATAATTTTAAAAAATAAAGCTAAATGAAAAAGATATTAAGTAATGTGTATTTCTTGCTTGTGCTAGGTATGGTATATAATAAAGCTGCTACCACATCTTGCACATTTCATTAACATGAAGGCAATTTCAGGTCAATTTTAGGTCTTACCTTATACAATGCCATCTTGCCACTAAACAGGGAAAAAGTAAATAAAATAATAGTTTCTTAGTCACATCCTTTGTGACAGCTATCTTAAAGCTTTCTTGCCAAATTATCTTTTAGTAGATTTATGAATACCCTTTGATATGTAACTCAGTTTGAAATTTTACCTCCCTCTTCCTCACCCAGCCCTTTTCTTTCTTATCAATTGTAAATAACTTCGGACTTCACCCTCTATCCCAGTCTCTTTTCCCAGTTTCTGTGGTGATACTTTCTGTCCTTAAGGCTCTTTGTAAATTCCTTTGGGGAACTACATTTCAGGATGGAGCTAGTCCTATGAAGATCACTTAGCAGATATCTGGTATAAAGAAGGTGATTTTTGCAAAAAGTTCAACCAGTGTGGTCCAGGTTTATTTAAAAGGAAAGTTGAACTATGGAGTATACAATAAAGTGTGACCCTAAAAGCTGTTCTGTGGTCAATGTTTATAACTTGCCAAATTTCAGCTCTAAATTTTTTTCCTATTTATTTTTCTTTTACTAGGAAGTTGATAAGAGGTTAATAATTATGTGAGGGTAATTTTAGCATACCCATGATAATGGTAACTTGCTGTTTCCAACTTTTGCATTGTTTTGAGGCTACTCAGGAACATAGGTGACAGCTACTATGTTGTTCATTAACATCTTAATGCTTAATATTGGAATGCACATTTGCATTATTATTATCACAAACTAGTAGTTTTGACTTTTTATTTTTATTCCCTTTGACTTCAATGCAGGTGGAGTTTTTCTCAAATAGGTAATTACTGCCAGTAAATGCTGGGGTTTTTCTTCTTAATTTTCCCCTCAAATTAAGCTAGGAGTGAAGTAAAATAGTAAAATTGTGGCCCTTATAGTTGTTCATTTACCTATATCTTTAAAAAATTCTTTTTGAAACAGCCTTATCATATCCCTTATAAATGTTGCTTCGTATCCTACTTAAAATTGTTGTTTTGGGGAAAATAGTCCATATTATTCCAGATCAGCATAACAATGCAACACAGGATATCATTCCGATGGTTACTTTTTGAGCTCCTCACAGTGCTGCTAGTATTTTGAAGCATAATTTCAGTTTGGACAGAAGTTTCCAGAAAGCTTAAAGACATGCAAATTTAATGTAAAGACAGTCAAAGATGAAAACAGACATAGAGCTGTTATTTTTATATTGTCTTGCAATGTTCTTTCATATTCATTGGCAGGATTATTAGCACAGATACTAAACCAACCCCTTTAAAAACAAATTTATTTCATTTTAAAGGGTGTCTTAAATTTCCATTATTTTTAACTTTCATATAACGACTGCTTATATCTTGCCTTCCTCAATTCTATATTCACTTTCAATATTCCTTCTACTAAGACATAAATTATCCACCTTGACTATACAAGAACCAGTGTGTCATTTTCAGAAGACTAAACACATATAACGATTGAAATAGACATTTGTGCCTGTCACTTATCCTGGAGCAGTATACTATTTGCCAAACACAAATAACTGCTTGTCACTCCGTACATATCATTTTCCCTGCACCACCATATTTGATTTTTTTTAAAAAGCTGTATACTTTTGATATGAAGTGAACCAGTGAGAACTTATTTTATAAAAAGTTGGGGATTGCTTTATGGTAGGAGTAAAAGAATACCTCAGATTAGATATTCCAATCTAATTCCACAAAAATGAACCATTTTATATTCTAGTTAGATTGTGAAAATCATTGGAACTGATAAACAAATGGCTACAAGCATTAGTAAACTGATAAACAAATGGCTACAGCACTAGAAAAGAACAGCCAGGTGATGGAATTTGGGCGACCTTATATTGCATATAAAAGTGCAATCTAAGAGATAATATTCTGTAGAACAGAGCCAGAGAAGCAAGAAGAAAATAAACGAGTTCAAGATTTCCCCCTCTTTGACATAGCTGCCTTTATGGTACCTGGGAATGGTCGCTCCAAACCAAGCTTTGGTAGGAGGAGGAAGTTTTGAGAGGGGAGAGCACTTCTCCTGAGCCGACAGGGTCCAAAGCTTGAACCACCTTGTTCATGGGCCCACTGTAAGTCCTCACTCGCTCGTACACTACATTTTTTTCTGGAGGCTGCTGGGCTTGGCTTGACTGACGGTAGCAGTGGTAATGCTGGGGCTGGCATGGCAGCACCTCTGGGGACTGCTGAGTCCCACAGCTGCTGCTGCTCATCTCACTCCAGTAGCTTGAGCTCATCTTCTCAGTGGTCTACAAGGTAATCCCCAGATGCTCTCCCTAAGGAACAAACAGAGAGAGCTCATGAAAGAAAAGAGCAGGAAAGCAGACAGGCAGGCACATGTTGAAACCTTTTATTAACCACCGCGGCCTATTCTGGTGCCAACAAGAGACTAGAGTTACCTGAGCAGCAGCAGAGGCAGGTCCGGCAGCTGCAGAGGAGGCAGCAAAGTAGTCGAGAGCAAATGCAAAGTGGAGCCACCCCAGCCAGATTGCTCCAGGAAATAGTACTGCCACGCCCCTGAGGGGCGGAATCACCAGGCAGGTTTACCGGCCCGGAGAGGCCCTGCTTTGCTACGGAGATAGCTACAAGGCCGCTCAGCAGGCTAAGGAAGTCTAGGAAGAGCAGGAATGTGGAATTTCAGGGCTAAAGTCAGAGCTTCCAAATTCCACTGTCTTGGAAATTCACTTGAACTGTAAATAGGTAAAGACATGCCCATGCCAAAATTTACTAGAGAAAAAAAATCACAAAAGTCATATGAAGGTGACTTTCCCATGGTTCTTAACCTTAGGAAAGGTAATTATAAGCATGAATATTACCATTCCAGAGTCTCAGACCAAAATAAGGGATATTAGCATAGGGACCACACTAGTTTTCCCAGATAAATTTGCATTCTTTGTAAAACCCAGCTGGTAATTGCAGTTAAGGGGGATTGCTGTGGGGTCTCCTTCTAGCAACTCTCTTTAATTTGGGGATCTGTTTAATTTGCTCCAGGCCTCATGTGACTTTCTAATTTAAATTGAGGAAGATTTGTCTAAATGATGAGATCCATCAAGAAAAATCTAACCAGTCCATAAATGCTTTGCATTTTAGCATTTATATATTGTTTTGCATTTTTACAAAGAACTGTATCCTGACTTTATGCTTTTTAAATATCTAGTTCTTAAGGGAGCTGCAAATCTTAAGAAGTGCCTTAATTGATATAATGAGATTTAAATATCCTTAGCACTTATATTGGAGAAAGCAATAGCACCCCACTCCAGTACTCTTGCCTGGAAAATCCTGTGGACGGAGGAGCCTGGTAGGCTGCAGTCCATGGGGTCGCTACAAGTCGGACAAGACTGAGCGACTTCACTTTCACTTTTCACTTTCATGTATTGGAAAAGAAAATGGCAATCCACTCCAATGTTCTTTCCTGGAGAATCTTCAGGGACGATGGAGCCTCATTGGCTGCCGTCTATGGGGTCGCACAGAGTTGGACACGACTGAAGCAACTTAGCAGGAGCAGCATTTAATATTTATCACTACTTGAAATCACAATCATATTGCCTACTTATCCACCAGATTTTGCCTTGCAAGATATTTCAGCATTACAGAATTCTAGAATACTCTCTCACTGAGGGTGTCTTCAGAAAATGGATGTCTTCCTAGTGTGTATATATGCCATAGAACCCAAGACACCACCACCATTCTGGAGAGGAAGAAAATATCATCAAGCTGGCTAGCCAAATTTTTATCTGCTGAGTGTGCAAAGGCAGTGATTTACTTGGTCATTCACTCTGACTATGTGAGGAGTTTTACGTGGAATATCTTCATCCTCACAAATGTATGAGGGCTTAGAGGGGAGGAACTGAGGCAGAGACACAGAGAGGCTGAAAATCTTCCCAAAGTTAAACTACTAGTAAATAATGAGTCTGTGATTTGAGCAGACAGCTAACTTTAAGCTCTTAGCTACTGTATTATACTGCTAAGTAAAATTTTAAATTATGTTCTGTATCTGGACATCTAATACATCTTCCAAGTGGAAAAATAAAATAGTTTTGAACCATTAGTACATAAGTGATTTTAAAAATAATCTTTGGTTTTCTACAGGGGAGAGGTAAGCAAAATGCTGAAAATGGACGTTAAAAACTTTAAAATAATTAAAATAATTTATTGTATATTTACATTTATATTTGTATGCTGTGTGCAGAGCTTTCAAATCTAATCTTTGTTCATTATAATGCTGTTTCTCAAGGCTTAAAATTTAATTTGCCAAACAGCCTGGCAAAATATCATATCAATAACTTGTTAATATCATTAACATATCATTTTGAATCAGCTTTATATGTGAATGGGAAATGGATATTACGTGGGGTCATCCAGTCAGCTCTGATTGTTGAAATCTGAATTTGAAATACACACAAACACATATACACAGTGCCATTAATGTCTGCATCCAGTGCTGCTAATATCTGTATTCTAATAACTAAAGTAAGAGATTGAGATGAAAAATAAAAATTCCTTCATCCATACTTGCCCTCCATATTTCTTGGATATATGGCATTTTGAGGCAACCACCTTAATGCAATTGGTAAAAATTAATGTGTAAAACTGACACCTTTCAATTCCTGAGCCTCATCCATCAGTTTTCTACATGCTTGGGTATGAAGAAGAGAGAGCTTGAAGCTCAGGGATAGTACTAATACAAAGAAAGGAAATTAGACACTGTCTGGCAGACAAACCACATCTAGGTATGAAACAGATGTTGACCACCCTTGCTCACCTCAGAGAGGTTTGTCAATCATTCTCACCAAAGTTTGTGCTTCTTCTCTGAGACGTCATTGTGCCTTCATTGATCTGCTTCTACAATTGTGTTATTTCCCCTTTATGAAGATAATGTGAATACTCACCTATTTTTGATTAATAAATGCATATAAATATATTCGACCTTTGAATAACAGTACTTGTTCTGTTTTCTACTGGAAAACCCAAGGAATTGACATTTAAATAAGCTTCATGATTATGCTATGCTTCTTACATTAGTGGATGAAATAGTAACAGTTGATTTCTTATTCTCAGTATTCTTATTCAGAGAATACTTAATTATATTTCTAGCAGTTATTTGTTTCACTCGGTAATATAGATGCTTTATATTTAGTACTGAAAAAACTTCATTTATCATGATGGATTCGATTTACCCTTAGAAGCTAATTTGGTTCTAACAGACCTTTAAAAATCTTTAGTGTTTTTTGATTATAAAAATAATATATTCATTCTTTAAAAAATAAAATGACTAAAGATGTAAAAAAGTAGAAAATGAAACTTCCCTTATTGATGGTAAGAGCAAGGGATAGAGTAAGGATGGGGAATGTCTACCTTATGTATTATTGGTAATAAAGAAAGTGAGTTACATCTTGACTAAGCTGTTTTGACAACCATTTGAAAATTTCCTGATTTTACCTACTGCATAAAATTGTTACTAGATTTAAATACCTGCTAACTGTAATATGCTACCCAGATACAAAGTTCTAAAATATATTATTCACAGACTATGTGGTGTGATTTTTGTGAAATAGTAGTCATGGAAAAGCAAGTATGAATGTCCCAAGAGGTTATAGGTCTGATTTTTTAAAGCTTAGCTACCTAAAACCATTAAGGTAAAATAGTTCAGTAATTTATCAAAATTGATGTACAGAACTATCTTAGAATATTAAATAATAAAATTAATTATAAATTTGACACCAAATGAGTTTAGTCAGCATCAGCAGTGGAGTTTTTATGTGTATAACTAATCCTGAAACTCCTGTTTCATGGGGCTGGCACTCAAATCTATTTTTGGCACTGGCCCATTGCTTCAGGCTAATGTTGTAATGGCAAAAGATAGAGTTAAAAGCAAAGTTATTTAGGTCTTTTTACTTTTGCTTACTCTATGATCAGGGAGAAGTATGTTCATAAAGAAAGGGTCAATGAGCAATGGTCAGAGGAAGCTAAAGGCCAATGTAGTGAGATGATTGTGGGAAAGCACCTATGTTTTACTAAATGGGTCCAAGTCACTTGATTCAGTAGAACTCTTTTCCACCCTTTGACAGAACTTACAGTAGAGCTTGCTTAACTGCTGTTGGAAAACTTTAGGCAATATTTCAGAATATCAGATATTAAAAATAATTTTCTTGATTTTTAAAAAATGAATGGTGAAGTTTAAATACTGAACAATTTTGTCCGATATCAAGTCAAAAATCTATATCATATTATCAAGTGTCTGATGATGTACATACTTAGAATAGAGATAGTCAATCCTTGAAAGTCCTTTAATATCTCCTACTATGATATCTGAATCTTGGTCCATAAGTAAATTTTAAGTGTGCATAATTTTGCTCAGAACTAACTAATTCCAGTGTTCCAAGAGCCACACTAGAGAAAATCAGACTTGGATTCAAGACAGAGTATACTCCTCTGTATGATTTGAATGTTGCTGAACAGGCATCAAACCTCTATGATTCTGGCAGATCCCCAGGGATACCTGACCTTTCCTGTAAAAAAGATTACTTTAGAGCAGCATTTCTCAAACTGTGTCCTAAATAACACTAGTCTACTGTTGTTATATCTGGAAAAGTGTTTTATGACAAAGTAAGTCTAAGAAATACTTGATGTAGGGGAAGAGTAAATTAGCCAAGATAGCGTAATCAGGCTCTCTCACAGAGAGCTCTCTCACAGGCTCTCTCACAGCTTCCGCTCTTGTCCCACGTTTTGTAAATAATGTTTATGTAACAGCTAAGATCACTTATAGAACTGTGCATGCATGTTACTAGGTACTCGCTTGACCACGAGCTGTTTTGTGTGGTATGCCTGTATGATCTTCACCATGAAAGCACTGGCTACTGCTCCATTGGGGCTACACTGGAGTGACATCATGATTATGTTATATAAGGTTATGTTTTGGCTCCATTATGGTTATCCTGTGGCTGCTGCTACGGCTGCTGTGTCAGACAAAAGAGAGGCTGTGTAATGGTTGCCCTGCCAACCAGGAGAGAATAAACGTGTCTGCAGTTCCTACAGCTCCTCAAGTCTCCTTCCAGCCTCTTAGCCTGCGCTTTGCCTACACTGGTTTCAGCAAACAGTGCGAACAGCGTCAACAGTGAGACAATCAGTGTCATGAACAGGAGGAAGAGCAATAATACACTTGGTTAACTATAATTTGAGAAGTAGCTTTACTGACACAGACTTCCCTGTAGCTCAGCTGGTAAAGAATCCGCCTGTGGTGTGGGAGACCTGGGTTTGATCCCTGGGTTGGGAAGATCCTCGGGAGAAGGGAAAGGCTACCCACTCCAGTATTCTGGTCTGGATAATTCCATGGATTGTATACAGGGGACTCAAAGAGTCTGACATGACAGTGATTTTCACTTTCACTTTACTGACATAATTCTTATAGCCTTTCATAAGCTAGTGGACACTGTAATCTTTTTAACGGATCAATGATACATAGAAATTTTCAAGTTTTGTGGGTGATGAAATATGTTTTGTGTGGA